AGAACATAATCATTATAATTTTATTTGTGTACAAGAGTTCTCATTTCATCAAGGTTATCTTTGTGGCTTAATCCAACATATTTAAAAAAAATGAAATTATTGTCCGAACAACCTAATCATAACATGCCGATTGATGTGATAGAATAAAAGAAAGATATCATTTTCTTTTTTCAACCTGAATCCGAACCATTTATTTATAAATTTTACTATTCCTGCTGTGAATAAAAAGCATATTTTTTGCAAACCAAAATGACATAAAATGTTGGTAATATAAAACCGTGAGATGAGATTAGGTCAGCATCGTGGTTTTCATTTTTTCTCTCTTGGGTGGCTATGACTGCGATGAAGAATTAATCGGCTGTTCATGACGGTTAATAGGTTGAAAGTTTGATTATTTGTGTATGTCCATATTTACATGAGGACAATAAACAACAATTCCATTACAATTAATCATACATGAACAATGATATGAGCTGATATTAGGACGTAAGACGTGATGATGTCAACGTGACGGTTTTCGTCACGTTGACATTAAAGAAAGGATAGCAATACCATAAAAAGTAGTGGCTATCTTATTTTTACTCAGATTCTCAAAAGAAATAACTTTCTTATTATTTTTGTTGTTGATTTGCCGACAGGATCTACAAGGCGATAACACTTTTTAAAAAAGTTCGCGTTCTGTGAGAAGTCACGTCGTTCTCCTTGGAACCCGATAGCCGAAACGTTGTCCGCGGGGCAAAAAGAAAAAGAGAAAAAAAGCTGACGACGGTATCTTCCGTGTCGGCACGAATCCCAGTGCAAGCTTGCATTTTCGATCTCTTTGGTCGAAAGTGAGAGTTATTTGCTCCCACTTCTCACCATCCCGGCTTGTTGACTGTATTGAGCCGGTCTAAACGTATTCATCTTCTTTTGAATCGGTCCCCTTCCGACGCAGAGTCATGTCCCAAGGCGGCGTGACTCCCTGACCAAGTATCTCACCCACATCTGGTTTACATAATATTCACGTTATGTTACAAAACCGCGGTGGGCACAGCGATGATGAACCGGCACTTCGATTCAGTCTCATCCGCTCATCTGGACTACGATTTATCTTTTTTTTCTGTTATCTTATAATAAAGCGATTAATAACTAGCAGGTGGTTCGTTTTTAAACAGTAAAACGGATGAAACAAAAATTTGTAAAAAATTTCTACTGCGATATTTTTTAAGTATTCCCGCCTTTGCAGCGGTCACTCATGCGCAAAAAATGCGTTAGTTATGAAATAAAAAAACCTCACCGTTCAAAAACTAAATCTCCAACAATTTGAAAATGTGGTGAATTGGCTGTGATCACTTTGTTTCTGTCCTTTCCTTTTCACAGAACGTCTTCTCATGGGAGGTGGCCTGAAACTAAAACGCTTATGAAGGAAGCATCGAGAATGTCTTATTGAAAACAGAGCAAACCATCAGGACGCACGTTGTAAAGATAAGGCCATATCGTTCTTACAATATCATTGATTCTTTCAGTAACCTCGATTTCACTCGACCTTCAGTGAGGAACTCAAGAAACTTAACGCAAAGCCAAATATTTTAACGACATCGAAACCCGGAGGTGTAGATGGACCCAGTAAGTGATCGAGTGGCGGTTCAACATGAAGTCACTGGAATATCCCTTATCACCGAAAGATGGTTGTTTCCTAACAAAATAATATCTTCCAAATGAAATATTGTGTTCAAGCATAATTTCTGAGAATTTTGTTTCTTCAAAGTCGTATGACCTAGGAAAAGTTGCCAGTTACTAGACTCTACCACAGATCCTGCCATTAAGATGAGAGAAGATTTGAAACCATTTGAAAGATCAAACTGCAGATTGGTCCAGCAGACCTCAAGATGAAGTCACCAATTTCAATATTATTAGCACTTATGTTGATTGCTCGCAATATTAAATAAATATCATAGTTTGGTTTTAGAATGGATTTTCTGATCCATAAGAGGGTGGCCGCAATGATAAAAAATGACGGCACATATCAATGGAAGGTCCCGGGCGATTCCAATCTGAATTATGCGTTGTACCTTGCAGTGCTCACGGTCCAACCAACAAATAATTTAATACATAGTATAAATTAGTATATGTTTGTATAAAATTATATGTATTTTACCTTTTTATCCGTGTTCCAAAAGTATAATGAAATAATTGTCACTTCATTCATTACATCTAGAACGTTTTTTTTTACTATATTCCTGATTTGGTGGTACAAAAAGCATTTTTGGTAGAGAAGTTAAGTTATTTTTATTTCTGATATGAGTTTTTTGAATACTTTAAAAGCTGGATCTTATTGTATATTAACTTACAAGTTTCAAATATTTTAAGTCAAAATATGTCTGGGTTTTACAGTATGTATTTAAAGTAAATTGAGAAGAGTTAAACGTCAACTCCTTTTTAACGTAAAGCAATTTTAAAATTTAATTTTGATAAACGATCCTTTTTAACGTATTTTATAATGACAATTTCGGTGAAGAACAGAAAAATTGAATGTTGCCAACATTAAAGTTGTGAACCTGTGGCAGTGTAATGCGAACTGGCTCATCCTGCCTGCTGACGTTCTGATTTTATGGACTGCAAGGTCATTTCAGCAATAAAAATATGCAAACCTCTGACATTTATACCATGCCTACTTGCCCACTATACGGACCCAGCAGTCAAGGCATGTCAGTCTAGAAGTATTTGGGCAAAACTGAAATAATAATGTAAATCATAGTTTTTTGGGAGTATCAAGTAGTAACTACAACCTTTACTAACCCTATGCAATCGAAAGTAGCCCTTTCCCCAAAATTTCCTCTTGGACTTCTCTGGTGTGAAAATTGGCTTAACGAAGTAGCTATACAGTACCCAGGCTAGTACAGCACATTCACACAGGGCATGTGCCAATGGTTTAACGGATGGTGCCAATGGTTTCGCTTGACTGTGTGACATGTTTCTATCTTAGCTACATAGTTTGTTGTAAAGAGTTCTTCGCCTTCTTTTTTAGAGATTTATGAATCTCTTGGCTTCCCTTATACATAGTGCTTTCGTCTAGTGCTTGAGTTTGTCTTTCTCCCGCCATTTTTCCAGTTCTTTAGCACACATCCCGGTATGTTTAATTTTATTTCCGCTCCGATGGATGAGACAGTTGCCCCTTCTTTGGCTAGAATGACAGGCGGTTTTGGTCTATGTCTTCATGTCCCGGAACTCACCTCAAATTAACCTTGCTGTGTTCTCCTAGTGGACCTAGTGGCTCTCTCACACTAGTTGGGAGATGAAAGGATAAAAAATTAGTGTTTTTCTAGCAGTTTAACTATCCGATAGTACGTGTGGAGATAGCACCGCCCACACATTTATTGTAAAATGGTAGATGAATAGTATAGCAAACCGAATTTTCTTACTACTTTCTTACTACACTATCAGTGATTATTTCCATCATCATGTCGATACAAATTATTAAATGGATTTTTATTGTGCATTAAGTTATTATTCCTCACGCAGAGATGACCGTATATTATTTGAAGACGCCTACGCTTTGGAAGATTCCAATCGTTTTCTTACAACAAAAAATATAAAATGATTAACTGAATCAAAGTTTTTATATTTAGATAGATAGATAGAAATACTTTATTTTACAATTTTATGCACATCATGAAACATATTTATAAAAGTATATACAATATGAAATTAAATCCATTGTCGTTGGAGGTCGTTGTAAATTGCTACACATATTTGGAAATTGAAAATTTACCATAAAACTCTGGATATACATGTATTAATTGTAGAACATGAAAAGAATAGAAATAAATATAAAGAAAATGACTTTTTCGTCCAGATCATTACCTTTTTTATGATTATGAAGGAAAGGTGTATACGAAATGAAAAATTAAATTCTTGGATCCATTCAACAGCTCAACGATATCGGTTTTTATAGTTTTTAAGTTTTTATATTTCTAAAGCAAGATTTCCTTCTCTGAATTTATTTTGAAAGAGATAATTAAAATGTATATTATTCACTTAACCAAAATGGTATATTATTAGATAAAATTATATCATATTGTCCAATTTTACTATTTTTTCAATTTCTTGCATCTCAACAAAGAAAGATTTGAAACTTAAAATATGGAGCTATCTAACTAAAAGCAAATTTAGTTTTTGTCATCACACCATGATAAATTGATTCGAACTGACGGATTTCAAAGCCATAGTTTTTCAAAAGGTAAAATTTCATGGATTTTCTATTCACATCTACACTTTGAAAGAATCATTATCGCCTTATTAAAGTTATTATTTAAAAAAATTATTTAGCGTATTATTGTATTTACAGTATTGCTGTACTGCTGTGTTACCGTATTTACAGTATTACTACATCACAACCATTCAATTTATTATAAGTATAATTTTTTTTCGAAAGGGTTACTTTTTTCTATGTAAGTGGGATGCGTAGAGGTCATTACTGAAAGCATACCGTGTCGTATTCTATTCCTCGACGTCAATCCATCCTTGAACTGTCATTAAACTTGATACACTTGTTGGAAAAAGTAAAACTTGAACAAATTTCAAGGTGTTGCCAATCTATCAGCCCAATTCAAGGTCTGCCTTTCGGAGAGGGTTTTATTTGCTAAAGTAGTCGACAAAATTGGCTACCTTTGAACACTGCCTAGATATCAAATTAGGCGTGTCGATTCAAAAAATAAAATTTTAAACCGGAAACATAAGTTCAGTTCCAATTTTTTACCAGGTAAAAGATGTCATCTATCATGTTCATTCTCAACAATTTCAACCCCTATTCACTATCGGTATATTATTTGTTCCTGTCGATTTAAAACAAAGTATGGTATTATTTTTACTCCTGGACCCTAAAAATGGTGATTACAGGTCCTTTCAGCCGAAATCTCACGATAGTCACGGTGCGATGTCCAGCTAACAATACCCCCCCGCGTGATAATCTCTTAATCCACGGCTATAAAAACGTATTACAGACGTGCCGGAGTGAACAGTTACTTCAATGGAAACTATGTTAAAGGTAATTCGCTTCTCCACGTCTAACCTTTTCATTCTACTCTTAACATACTGCATGTTGCATGGCTGAATTGTCTTTTGTTTTCATTTTTTACTGAGAGCTAATAATTTTCGCTTGATTTGATTACATTTTTGTTGTTAGTAAGAACTCATGTTCGGATGGTTGTTGGATATGTGTAGTGTCTTGTGCCTTCATCTCAATATTCTATCTCAAGCGTTATTGTACGGAATCCATTTATACATTAAAACCAACTGACACAATTTATAGTATACAAAGTAATTATTACCATGTAATGTTTTTGCCAGTGTTGAAATTTTTAGCGACCTCATCAGATGACATAGATACCTACACTTTTTTCGATGTAGATTGAGAGTAAAATATCTCTTAGACTCATTCCTTACATACATTCCTATTTATACATGTATACGTATTGTGGGCTTCAGTTGATGCGAAACCAGATATCATTTTAAAAGATTTGTTGGAACAATTAACAAACAACAAGTGAAATTATTTGAAAGCTAATCAGTCTCGAGACTGATCACCTTTCAAATAATTTTACTGTTGTAGGATTAACCTTCGCTTGTTCAATACTATAAACTGACAATAATATGACGTTTCTTTAAAATAATTATAAAAGAACCATATTACACTAGAGTAATCGTTGAAAATTTCTTAAAAATGAGCTATTTTTGTAAGATGGCCTGGTGTGTTAGATACTTTTAAAGTATTTTAATTATTTGTTCTATTTACATTCTGCCTGTTATAAAAAGAATAATAGCCATCTGCCCGAATAGCCAAGTGATGGCAACTACTTCCAGAACCGTTTGAGATTCCTTCAAAGCCTTGTCGGACATTGGGGAAAACAACAAAATTGACCCATGTTTCGGTACTATGGTACGTTGGGCGGAGGGACAATGAGAAGACCGACAAATTGACTAAGGAATGTTCGATGGACACATAACGGCTCTGAACCCTTTATAGCATGCCAAATCGCGAAAATGTATATCCATCTGGTTTAATTCGTTTTGATTAAGTCATTGATTCATGAGACCGTACCTTAGGACAGAGGTTCGCGAAAACGATCTTCAAAGGAACATCTCAGAAACTAAACTAGAACTTGTTAGATCTCGAATAATAGTAGGACTGCTGACTGGGCACTGCAGACTCCGGTACTATATGTCTACTCGGAGAAGCAAAAAGACTGAACAAAATTTTCTAGAAAGAACAAGAAACAGCGAAAAATGTCTTCTATCTGTGCTGAGATTGAACAGCCAAGGCCTGAAGGATGTTGGAGGTGTGGGATGGGCATGGTAGAAGGCTTTAAGCCTTACGAAGATTTCTTTATAATAATGGATGTTGCCCAATAAACCAACCAAAGGCAGGCTTTTGGGAGGCCGACTGATTCTAACTTTTATCCTTTAACCTTTACTATTCACAAACAACAAATGTAATTTACAAGCTCTTCTATCTCCTACATATTGGATTCAATACACAACCCTGTTTTACCACACACTTTACCTCAAGAAACTCTGAAAGTCCTCTCACGCTCGAAGCAGAATCCAATACTCTCTCTGAAGCTCTGATATTTCTTTTCTGGATTACATTTTTTTCAATGCAGACACCGCGGGCTGGCCATAAAATTTTGGCCATCCATCATTGCTCTAATGGAAGAGTGATTGATCCACATGATATATCAGGAGAAATTATAAATGATGGGGTGAGTGTGGAGTTCGATCCTTTTTAAAAAAGATGGTTCCTACTCACATTAAAGTGTTCTAAATTAATGTGAGTAGGAACCATTTTTTTTAAAGGATTGATATATCAGGGTTCATTCTGATAATAGGATATTAGTTTTAATATATCGCAGTTAGTTAATTTATTTTCACTTATGACTTTTTTAAGACTACACTAGAGTAATAAAGAATAATTATTTTGTATGATATGTTTCCCTTAAACAGAACAGGTAGTAAACTTTTAATAAATTTATTCGATTTCGTGGTCTGATTGACCAAATAACTCCTTTCAATTAATTAAACTTTATGAAAGGTTTTGGATGAGATAAAAAAAGCAAAAAGAGAGACAATTCGAAAGGTGGGTTGAGATGGGAAGTTGGTGTCCGAGTGGATCGAAGTCACGATAACTCAAGTGGTAGAGCAACGGCGTATTTAGCCGAAGGTCGTTGGTTCGAATCCCGATCGTGACGCTGACTTTTTTTTATCTCAACCAATGCCTTTTAATAAATGTTTGTTAAGTCTAGTTTGTAACTAATGATTATAAAATAAATATAATACGAAATGAAAAATTTATTAATTAAGTACTGAGTTTACAGCATTTTTTAAGTTTAATATTTACGTTTATTATAACTAATGAACTACAGCACATTTATTTATTTTTATGTTTTAGATTGTTGGTTTCTTCGCACTTGTCGGAGGATGTTTGTCATCCGTTCCTCTCCCGGGCCCGCACCCAGGAAATGAATTTTTTCTTACAGGCCCTCCGTACCAACGTCTCCAATTTGGACCCAATTTGTACCAACCGGATTTTATGAAGCTACCTTTCGGCTTTCCCGGCCATGTCAACCCTGTAGTTTACTTTGACGAACCTCACGGCCTCAATTTTCCGTTGAACCTGCAACACTTCAGCCCTATTGAAACTCGCCCGTTCGGCCATGCTTTCCCACATCCGCTCTCAATGAACGCCCCAATGAATAGCTTTGGTTTGGAAGGCGGGCCTCTCGGATTTCCGAACTTCCATGGACACCGGTTTCCCCATCATTTGACTCAACAGGTCGGAAATGAAATGGAATACTTGCCGGAGTTGGAAAACGCAAGACGGTCAGTACGAATGCCGAGAGATTATCCGGAAGAAAGCCTTCCTTTAAGACAAAACAAGTTATCGAATAAAATTGTTTTTCTCAATTCAAAATCAAATCCATCTAGCCTAAATTTACAGAAACAGAATTTAACCATGTCACAACCTCAATTTCGAGACAGGACAAACCAAAATCTAACTAGCGACGATAGGCAATCAAGGGTCGTCGGCCAACAACTAACACAAGCAAATGACAATTCAGAAAAGAAATAGACAAAACCTATGTTTAATACTGCAAAGAGTAAAACTAGTTATTGTTATTAGTCTATTAAACAGGAATATCAAGCAAGAAGTTCTTTTGTTGTTCTGATTTAAGATTATAAATACTTTTTTTTATAAAAGTCAAAATTTAAAGAAAATGAATTTCACCAAATTAAATTATAGTAATATAAAATGAAAAGTTTGTCATTACTAATTCGAAACCTTCTAGTGAATGACAAAATTGAAAGTAATTTATTGTTAATTTTTTTATATTTATAAAAATTTATGTTTTGATTAAGTTAAATTTATATTAGAATGTTCAATAGATATTTCACCTTTCTCTAGAGTCTTGATATTTTTAGCGTGTTCAATATTTATTGCTCATTTACAAGGTAGTAATAAAGAACTAGTTTTACATGTATTTATAACTGAAATATTTTATTAAGCAACTGACACGACATGGACTATTTGTTTTTATTGAGAATTTAATACAGCATTAGTTGAAAGCTGGCAAGATGACGATTGTCTACTTTTGGAAAACGTATTTCGAAATTTTGAGGTATGAGAGAAAAACAATTGTAAAAAGGGCAAATTACCGTCAGGACCAAACGCACAGGAAATACACATATACGTGACACTACACAAGCATACAGACGAAAACGCACACACACAACAACTTACTTCTGCCAACAGCGCAGGGTTGACTATAACTCAGAAAGACGCCGACCTGAGACGATGGAACGCAAGAGACAACACTGGAAATTATCATACAAAAACACGTCTGTTTAACCCGTACAGCGGCAGATGAACCAGTGTAATCCAACACACAATTACTGATTAAACAAGTTTTTGTATGTGTAAAAGTGAGCATTTGTAAGACAGAGTTTATTTAGTATGAACAAACATTTTTTGACATTAAAACGTATAATTTGTACTTTAGGAAATACATTTTATTATATTTTTTGTTTTGTCACCTGCAAAAAATTGCAAAGCATGTACAGTTAGGTAATAACAATAATTTGTAAAATCACTTTTTATCACCATTGATCCTTACTATGTTTCCCTATCTTAGGTACTGATTTTTTATAATGTTTTTTACACAGTAGTATTTAAATATTATATTAATAATATAAAGTATCAGGTAATAAAAAATAAACATTAACATGCTTTGTTGGTTGGCTTTGTTTGACTCAATCTACTTTTTTACATACAACTTTGTAAAATAATAAATTATATTTTTAACAAAAATTTTTTATTTCAAGTATAAATAGTTGTTTTGTGCTAGTCAGCTCTAACGATTTTTCATTAGGACATTTGGTAGTTATTGTTTTCTAAGCCGAGTAAATAACGATATCTTACCCCAGGTTCAAGTTAGGCATTGTCTAAAAATCCAGATTGTGGTTAGCCCAAAGAGGAAAGTTAAGAAACAAGTAATGTGGATTATTTCCAAGTCCAACAAGGCTAATGGTCAAAGCAATCAAGAAAATGCTTTGGGACGATTTGGACCGTTGAAATTAGTCGGTCTCGTTAGCGGAATTTCGAACATCTTTGGATTTGCCAAAGGTTGGTGGAAGAGCAAGGAAGAGACGCAAGTTGCACAAGGTTCAACTACCAACCACCAAGATGAAAGAAAGTAGATCAAGCTGACACCCCGTAAAAAAATCGAATTCAATCTATTTCTGACAAAAAGTCAAAACCAATTTTCTCAAGAAGCCGCAGAGATGGGGAGTCACGACCGTTTTGTACATAATAACGTTATTAATTATGTCTTCATCGAGAAACTCAGTAAGCGATGGGATGTCTAATCATGATAACATTTTGTAATTGCGCTCCGTTTGGAAATTTTAAGGAAACTACCCGAATTGAAAAATAGGGGCCAAGGCCGACTGAAAATTAATAAGTAATCCTTTTAATTATTTAAGGCAAATAAAATCCGGGCTAACTATGATTAAAAAACATCCAGCGTTTCTCAATCTCAGTTTCTAAAGCACAACCCATAAACATCTATTTGCACAAACACGAAGTATAATTATACAGTAACTATAAAAAATCGCGAATAATATTTCAACGATAATTAACAGTTTATTCTGTAAAAAAATAGTTATTACAAGAAATTAATTTTATACGAAATAACTTAAAATTTGGGTAAGGTATCATCCGACTAAAGTAAGTCATCTCAATGAATCCAATTTCTGTTATTTACACAAATGAGCATTGAGTTAAACGTTTGAATTGAGAGAGGTAGAGAAATAATGAGAGCTAGAGGAGGAAAGAGCAAGAGGGAAATATATAGATAGATTACCAGATAGGGGATAGGGATAGGGATAAAAGAGTCGGCCACGAAGGCCTACTGCACCTCGACTTGAATAGATCTCTATTGTGCTCCCCTGTTATTTATTACTCACTGGCCAGCTTTATGTTATTAACCAGTCTCTACAGCTTTGCCAGCGGTTCCTTGATTTAGGATCTTGCTTGTGGGTTTTCTTGTCCTAGTTGCAAGAACCTGCACCGTCATAGACCTTCGCAGAAACATAAAATGTGTTCTGCGTTCTCCTCCTCTTCCTAGCAGTATCTGCACAGTGTTTCTTCTGTCTGTACTCCTATCCGGTGCATGTGCCAGAATCCTGGTTCGGTTGCGGTTGTCTTCCAGTAATTTTTTTGTAAGTTTTGCGGATGGTCCTTCCCTTCGTGTTATACCTGTGGTATTGTTCCATCAGGTTTTGGACTCATTAACGATCCATTTTAAGATGTATCCTCATTTGTGTAGGCAGTATGGTGCTGGGCCCAGAGAGTCCATGTTGGACCCTATGTCCAAGGACCCATACCAGGATCAGGTCATTAGTGTCACTAACTTACGTCAGGGTCTCCATGCATTTCCAAACGATCTTTGCCTTTGCCTCATATGAGGCTAGGGCCCTAAGTGCTGCCGTGCTGTCAGAGAAAATGACTATATTCCGGGAATGTATTTCTAGCCTTTTTATTCCTCTGGCGCATAGTTCAATTGCTATGATTTCAGACATCAGTTCGGTCTTGGGGTTCATCCCGAAGACCCCCAGCTCGCGTACCCTTGTCGGCTTTGGAGCCGTCAGTATACCAGTAGGAATTTGCCTTTAGTGGTGTTCCTTTGGCCCATTCTTCTCGTTTTGGTATCCGAACTTTGTACATTTTAGCAAAGTTGTACTTTGGAGAAGTGACATTAATTGGCATGCCTATAATGGCATCTGCCTGTATCTCCTCCCTCAGTTTCCATTGTTTATTTACATGGCTTAACCTAGAAGATGGTTGTCCATTTATGAACCTGTGGGCTGCTGCTATGGCTTCTCCTTGGATTAAGTAGTGAAGTGGTGGGAGGTTTAACAAAACTTCCAGGGCCGCAAGCTGGCGTTGTGCTCATGGCACCAGTGACACTGAGACAAGCTTGTTTTTGGGTGCCACTTAATAGCCTTATTGCTTTGGCTTGAAGAGTTTTGGTCCACCATAGCACCGACCCATATGTCAACATTGCTCTTAGTACTCAGGTGTTTGGTGGCTATATGGTCATGTTTGGGTTTAGACCCCAGTTCTTGGCTCTGCACCTACCTCAGGCAATTTTACCCCTTTGGGTAGTTTTAGTTATAGATNTATATATAAGCGACATTGATAGTGATAAATGGCGAGGAAAGATAGTAAAAGGATATATAGATAAATAAAAATAGAGAGAGAAATTGATAAGTGGATGTAAAGAGTAGATGATCATGGTAATAAGTGCAGAAGAGAGAGAAGTGGAGAAAGAAAAACTGTTGGATAGAGATAATTGGTTAGATAAGTAGATAGATTGAAAACGAGATCAAGAGAGATTGATAGATTTTTAGATCTTCCTTGCACAACAACCAATTCGGTGGGGGTAGAAGGAAAGACCCACCATCGCACCACCTGAGGAATCAAACAGCATAAAGCGTACCTTCCTCCTGAGCGTGACCATCCGAAAACTTGAGACCAACTCTCACCTCTAAAAGAACAGCCATCTCCAATTATCCACATGTTCCCGTGCGAATTGAAGCCTGGCCATTTTCTGATCTGTGGTAAGCAGAGGTACACAAGCCGTGTGCTGGGTAGAGAGGTTATACTGAGCATTCTTCTTACATTCCTGGAGGACATCGAATCATTTAGAACTCGACTTGTAACATTTCTTATCTCATTTCCTGCTGTGCTGCGTTTCCGAAGAGCCTCATGATGGATGAATCTATCGTCTCTCGTCGGTACACCTAATTCGATCCTGTCGTGGCCTTCTATTTTGAAGCCCTTTATCTTTGAAGCACGGAAGAACCCTTCCTAATCTAGAGTGATTAACACTCAGTCCCAAGGCAACTTGGTGCTGGCTGTATCCTTCCTTTAATAATGTTATGACCATGACAATGCCATACTAACTCAATGCCAGACTCGAGCTATTGAAATAGGTTTAAGAATAAGAATAATAGCAAATGAAATCAACGAAGGAAGTAGATTAACTGAAAGTGATCTTAGGAGTAGCAGAATGGAAGGGCATAATGCTAATTTTTGTGCAAATGGGATTAATCAATACAAAAGTAAACAAAGAAAGTAAAAAAAAATCATTATTTGCTGTTTATTTGGCGTACGATAGCTCCTAATTACCTGTACCAAATGGAGAAAGATAATGGATTTATTTTTAAACTAAATAAATGGAGTAGTGCTTTAAATTTATCCATCAGAGAATTTTTTGAAAATATTTGCAGTATCTAAGATATTAGTTTTGAAAAAATTTATTATTGGGCAAAGTACCATGATTGTGGAGTATGTAATTGAAGCGTTAATAGTTTATTGCTCAATAATAATACGATGTAACGACTAATGTCCTTTCTCAATAGTGAAATACGTCGAGATTAATGCAATTAAGAGCGATGGTAATGGTTGTCAACTGACTCGATATTCTCCAGAGAGGCCTCGCTTCTTTAAAACGTCACGGTTTCTCTGTTCTGTTTGAAATTAATTTTACGGCCAATAAACGTCTTTCGATCGTGGGCCCAGCTGAAAGGAAGAAAGGACGAAGCCCGGCGGTCATGCGCTTTATCCCAGCCAACCCATAAAAGGTCCTGCTTGGGCACAATGGTTAATTTCCTCGGCGAATCTCATCACCTGGTCGTGCACTGTTGCTTCTCGTCCTTGGTCGGATTTGGGCTATCCAGTTTTACCAGGTTGTTAATTGCGTCGAACACTAATAACAGGCTTGTGCAACTTAGGGGGCCCATCTACTATAAATTTACTTTTACTATAAATAACTAGGAATCTATTTTTGTTAGTCTTTTCCCTATTCATATTTAAGCAGAAATGGTTTTGCCAAATTCCATACAACAGTTAAAGTTTAATGTGTAATTTAGAATATATTTCCGTATATAATATAGAGCAAATCTATGATATATTTTCGTGTCCCTACGAATTTTAAAACTTTTTAAATCCATTAAATTTCGTGGTCCGATTGATCAAATAACATCTTTCAATTAATTAATCTTTATTTAAGGTATTGGTTAAGATAAAAAAGTCAGTGTCACCTGCGGGATTGGAACCCACGACCTTCGGCTAAATTCGCCGCTGCTCTACCACTTAAGCTATTGAGAGCAGCGGCGTATTTAGCCGAAGGTCGTGGGTTCGAATCCCACTCGTGACAATGAATTTTTTATCTCAACCTTATATCTTACATAAAGACTTTTTTAAATGTTTTAAATTTTAGGTTGATTTTTACAACATTATTAAATGAGAGTGTACAAGGTCGTAACAGACAACATGGCGCTTTGTATATCTATTAAATTTGCGAGTTCTTCACCAGAGAGTATTTAATTAATGAATTAATGGTATGTATCAACTTTGTCTCTTGTTTGTTTTTACCATAGAACGTATTTTCAACCTGTCACTCAGTACAATATTATGGCTGAAATAATATTCCTTGAGCAAAGTTTTTAACGCTTTTTTAAACCTATATTTGGGTTATTAACAGGCAGCTGTGAAATTATTTGTGTTTTTCGAAATTAACGGCTGAGATTTACAAGGTTTTATTTTTCTATCCTCCTCTACCCGCAACTGTTGTTTAATTGAATCTATAAATTATTTCAGGCGAAGCTCTTTGGATTGGGGTAGAAACGGGCCGCGACCTACAGGATAAACGGGCTCCTTCACATTTGGCCCGGAATATCCGCGAAAGGATGAGTTATGGAGAGTAT